TCCCAGGTATGCCCATACATACACAGAAGGAAGGGGAGAGGATAGGAGTATCACACCGCACAGGGAGAGAGAAACACAGCGGAAGACTTGACCATGCGATATGACAGGGTACACTGAATGTGCAATTCACTCCACTCAATCCTCACAACCAGTCATAAAGGAAAGCCGAGTAGATCACATCCAAGAAACCGTGAAGCAATGATAGTCTGAACCAAGCATCAACACTGTTTATTGTACTCTTGAATTGTCAGAATAACTTCAGAACTATGGTGCGCTGCTCAGAGACGAGCAGCGCTTCACTCCCCAACCCTGATGAAGCGCTATCACTACCCCTGAGTCCCTGAAACATCAAGCGCCACCCAGATACAGTCTCCAAAGGGAAGCGCCACCATGAAACAGGCCTCTGGGGCCAAGCGCCACTCAGAGGATGAAGAAGAAGACCAGCGCCACAGTATCTGATGATGACGAAGTGTCAGAAGACTTCCCGTATGGAAGTCTGCAGTAGCGCCCCCCAATCCTGACCAGATGACCTCTGAGGAAGAAGCTGCAGCTATGGCTGCAGCACCACAACCCTGGAACCCCACTCCGGAGGAGGGTCCAGCAGGGCACCAACTTCCCTCGCCTCCAGCAGACCTCGATAACCCAGACCTCTGACAGCCCCTACGTGCTGGCAGAGTACAGCGCAGGTCCCAGCTATGGCCGGCGCTCCGAAGGTCTGGCTATGCCTGTCTCCTTCCACGTTGAGCCGTCACCACTTCCGCTTCACGCGTAGCGCAGCAGCGATGTACTCGGTACCAACTACCAAAAGCCCTGAACCGATGTGCCCATCCTATCTATAGTCTACTCTAGCCTAGACTCGACCTAGACCGGACTGACTGACCGACCGGCACCGATTCAGCTTCGGCCTCTCGGCCTCTACCTTACCCGGCTATTGGCTATAGGACCGTCTATCAGCATAGGCCTATAGGGCCTGTCTGTCCTAGGGGTATCCCGGGCCTGCTATTCACAGTTAGGTTAGCTGTAGGAAATTCAGTTAGTACGGGCCTGTATTTTCCCGTATTTACAGATATGTCCCTCACGAATTTTCCTTACAGGCAGGTCACACGGTTAGCTTTCAGCCAAACAAAATTATGAATCTGTCCTACCTATAGTACAGCCTCGACAGAGAGAGGCTACAGGCGACCAGAAAACAGCAAGTCATTGCACAACGACCCCCGACCGGTAGGTGCCGACCAGCCAACCCGTCGGCTGGTCGGCATCCGACCAGTCAAGGGCCACCGACCGTCGGGGTATGCAACACTGCCTCTGACCCTAAGATATTTCTGAATTACCTGGGGCCGCTCCCTTATTTTTGGTTGACCTACGTTGGGTTTCGAGCCTGTGACCTGGGCCTCACAGTCAAGCGTCCTCATCCTATGCAAATGGCCGTGCTATGTACTTTGCATCGAACATGTGCAGATCAGACCCCGATCAGAGCCACTGTTCAGCTCTAGAAATCGGAATTCAAACATATGCAAATTGGCCCGAGGTCCCCAGAGGATCTTCGCAAAAAAGCAAGACCGCAAAAAAAAAGGAAACAGAATCCATCCTGCTGTGGACGTGATTCCTTTTGGATTCTTTTTGCCACGGCCCTGCACATCGGGCGGCTATGTACTTGTATTCAAACATGCGTGAGGGCCCTGCTGTGAGAAAAACTGAACACTGCAGACTTAGATTCGACGTGTTCCAAAGAATGCTTTGCCCTGAGCTGATTCGAGTCCTCCGTCCTTGGAACAAAAGAAATCGAGAGCCGTAACAAAAAAAAACAAAAATGCCTGCCACGGAGACACTCCGAACCAAAATTGGGAGCGTGCGATGAGACCCGCTGTGCTATTTGAACATGCACGAGGGCCCTGCGGTTCGTGAAACTGAGCACCGCGACTTAGATTCAACATTTTCTGAAGAACGCTTTGCCCTGCACGGATTTGAAGCCCCTGTCGTTGGAATGAAAGAAATGGAGACCCGTAACACAAAAACAAAAATGCCTACCAGAGGAAATGGGACACCATGGGGACACTCGGGCCCAATTGGGAGCGGCTGACGAGACCCGCTGCACAATTTAAGAGTTACAGTTGATATCGAATGGAATCCAGGCCAAGGTGCCAAATTCGACTGGGCTGCAGGGGCTTTTGCTCAACGGATTCAAAAACATGAGGCAACCGTCAGGTTGTGGTTACCCTCAGTTGCATTAGCGTCTATAAGTTCTCAATGTCGAGCAACCATTGGTATTGTTTCGTAAGAATCAAGGTAAGGGTAATTTTAGGAAAGCAGGGCAAAGCACATGGTTACAACCCATTGTTTGTGGTGTTGATATGAATCCTGTAGACGATCCTCATGGAGGAGAAGAAGGACGTACAAAAGGAGGCTCACAAAAAGGCCTGTGGACCGACTGAGGGTCGGTAAACCCTAAACTGCCCAGCTATGGCCTGGCCCATACCAACCTGACAAATGTGGGACGGGGCATATCAGCAAGAAGGGTAAAGGCTCAGGCCATCCAAGCAACTCGTAGGCCCAAGGGGAGTCCGGATGTTTCTGGACCCAAGCATCTGGTATTTGCTGGAGGCTGGCAGAGTCAGCTCACACATTCTGGTTGGGTGCCAGCAGGCTACGGTCACATTGCTAAGGAAGCACCACCATCAGCCAAGTAGGGCAGCACAAGCCAGTGAGGCAGAACCTATCTGGAAGCTGTGTGTGTGTGTGTGTGTGTGTGTGTGTGTGTGTGTGTGTGTGTGTGTGT